GTTGCTTTGCTATTTGGAATCAGAATCAGAAATACTTTAATAATCCCAGAGGGAAATTAAAAATGATAAAAATTATTTAGAAAACTTTATAAACTTTGATTTTAAACATTATAACAGTTGGATTAAAGTCCATATGTGGCCTTAAAGTTAGAAGAAGATGGATTGAAGAAGCAACCGCATATGATTTTATGGCTGAATAATTTTTCTAAATAATCTTTTGTACATATGTGAGATCACAATAATCTTAAATCTGCGATTAACGGTTTATTAGTGATGTTTTCAGGTTAAATACGTAGTTGATTTACTTTGATTTGACTGAATATCACCATCAAACTTTTCCGAATGCCGTCATAATTCAAACTAAGGGAAACAAAGCAGAAAAATGTCCTAGATTTTGCATAATTTAGGGGTTTTAATTTTTTACTTTGTATTTATATTCTTATTCTTTACTTATTTTTGCTTAATTTAGGGTTTTTTATTTTTTACTTCGTATTAATATTCTTATTCTTTGCCTATTTTTGCTTAATTTTTTTATTTAAATTTTTTACTTTGTATTTATATTCTTATTCTTTGCTTGTTATTGTTTAATTTAGGGGGTTTTATTTTTTTAACTTTGTATTTATATTCTTATTCTTTGCTTATTATTGTTTAATTTAGGGTTTTTTATTTTTTTTACTTTGTATTTATATTCTTATTCTTTGCTTATTTGTGCCTAATTTAGGGGGTTTTACTTTTTATTTATATTCTTGTTTTTTTGGCCATTCACATTTAGTGTGTACCTGTACTTTATTTGTATTATTTGCTTAATTTTGCTCTCTGTGTGCTACTTTTTTGCCCTGTAAGCTGCTAGTAACTTTAATTTCCTGAGGGAGTCTTCCCAAGAGATCAATAAAGTACAAGTTTAAGTCTAAGTACAAGTCAAGCTGAAGGAAAATGCTGTCCATAACATCTTTTTTAAATTTGTTTATTTTTTACTGTAGGTAAAAATAGCCGACAGATGAAAACACAATGATTAAAGTTAGCAGAGTTATTATTTTTATTTTTTAATTTTTTTTTATTATTATTATTATTATTTATTATTTATTTTAATTTATTTTAATTTTATTTTTATTATCCTTATATATGTGTAAATCCCTCTCATATGTATGTTGATCGTTTAATATTTGATGCTTAAAAAAGTTCAATAAAAACAAATTTAAAAAAAAAAAAAGTTAGCAGAGTAACTTTAATCTGCCTCAAAGAAATCTGGAGCAGATTCTTCTTCTGGGTTAATGTTCCACGTCTGTGTTAGAACAGATGATGTAACCCTGAGCAAACAGAAACATTTCACACATCAGAATTCCTCACTCAGGCTGGAAAAAACACAGAGAAGTATAAAGTACTGGAGTAGAAGTACAAGTACTACAAAAAAAAACTGACTTGAGTAAAAGTTGAAGTGTTCTTTCAACTCCAGACTTAAGTGGAAGTATGGAAGAACTCCATTTTTTTTTTTTTAACCTAATTATTGCAAGTAGAAGTATTTCAAAAATTGCTACTCAAGTATCGAAAGTACAAGTATAAGTAAAAGTACAAGTACTGTGTATATTAAAAAAGGCAGTCAAAAGTGTGATAAATATTGTTTATATTATTTCAAACGTGTGAGAGGCCATACAGGTGTTTACAAAAACAGAAAATAAAATGTCTCCAAAAGCCAGAGGGACGATTTAAGCCCAGTGGTCAGAGATGTAGAAAGTACTGGAGTAGAAGTATAAGTACTACATAAAAAAATTAACTTGAGTAAAAGTTGAAGTGTTCTTTCAACTTCATACTTAAGTGGAAGTACGGAAGTACTACATTTTATCTAATAAATCAGTATTTCAAGAATTGCTACTCAAGTATTGAAAGTAGAAGTATAAGTAAAAGTACAAGTAGTGTGTATATTAAAAAAAGGCAGTCAAAAGTGTGATAGATATTGTTTATATTATTTCAAATGTGTGAAAGGCCATACAGGTTTTTACAAAAAACAGAAAATAAAACACAAATAAAACATCTTTAAAGGCCAGAGGGGCCTCTGATTGATTTATTTGTTTACGTTGTTTATGATAATTAAAATGACATTAGCTCTAATGGCTAGCTGCGGCTAATGGCTAATAACAACACGCCAACATTAATCAAGTCTGCAGGAAGCCAAGA